CCTGTCTGTAGGCTCCCTTTAGGTACTGGAAGGCTGCAATGAGGTCACTCCATAGCCTTCTTTTCTCCAGGCTGAACAAGCCCAGCTCCCTCAGCCTGTCTTTGTAGGGGAAGTGCTCCAGTCCCCTGATCATCTTCGTGGCTCTCCTCTGGACCCTCTCCAACAGCTCCCTGTCTTTCTTGTACTGAGGGCCCCAGACCTGGACGCAGTACTCCAGATGGGGCCTCACGAGAGGAATATTTACCAGGTGCGTCCCTCTGTTTTCTGAATATTTGTATATATTCTTCGTATTTCCAGGTGAATCTCCCCACCTTTTCCCCTAGTTAGATTGGGAATGAATCTCTTTTATAAGCAGCTTCCCATAGCATGAACAGTATAAACAAGTCTCTGCAATATCACTTCAATCATTGTTTGATTTATAGTAATATTTTAATTTTTTCCTGTTTATTTCCTCTATGTCTTGTAAAGTTTAGAGATGTGTGTGTGTTCAGAAAATTGACCACTGTTTTCTTTGTTCTCCTTCCAGCAATTGTATTTTTTATCTCAGAGTCTTTACTCAGTTATTGGGCATTTATCCATGTTGCTGCACGTGTGCATACGAGGTCATGATGCCACATCCCTGCTGATTTGTCTTTAAAACCATTCTCTTCAGCAAATTTTCTATGAGTTGGACCTGCTTTTACTCAGTTGTCCTCTATGAGAGAACACCACCTTGTGGAAAAGGAAAGCAGAGCTTCATCTCAGCTGGATTGAAAAGACAAAACCTTCAACTTATTCTCTCTTATTTTGGGGTCTCTTTAGTTAGTTTTGATCATCTCTGGATAATATTTGCCAGTGCTGTTAATCCCCATGTAGGTGAGCTGCACGGAATGAAAGTCAGAAGTCTGAATAAACCTCAGTGCCTTTATTAGAAGTTTTGAAGCAGTGACAGAGCTTAAAAAAGCATGTTTCTTTAATTTGATTACATTTATGGTTATGTTAAATTATACTGCTCTAATTAAGGATTACTAGGATTTTCTATAATAAACTTGAATGTTCAGCTATTTATAACTCAGGGAAAATATTTCCTTACAGAAATTTGGCATCCAGAGTCTCAAGCTGAACAGCATAGCTTTCCTTTTTCTAATTTTTTTTTTTTTTTTTAAAGACTCTTTGGCTGGATTTTGTTTAGAGGGAGGCAGTTTTTTTTGTGGTTTTATATGCTTTTTGTTCTCCCTTGGCAAGGCTTAGATACATGGAAAAAACAAATTTTCTAGGCTCTTAGTCTTTTATGTCATCTATTTCCTTTTTGATATTTCAAACATTGTGCTTTGGTAGCCATTACTTTTTAACAGAGCCAGTATATAATTCAATAAACAGTCACCTCTAACTATCTGCCATAACTACTTTTTATATTTCATTACATGAAAGTAGTTCATATAATAAAGTTATGTATTATTTTTCTGAAACAAAACTGATTTGCCTTGCATGTTTAGTGTCTAACATAAATACTTGTGTATTTCTGTAGGGTTCATCGTTTTTGGATTCTCTTCAAATATAAAAGCTATTTCTCATTTTTCTGTTTATTGCAGAAATAGACCATTTAATGCCATACTTAAAGGTATCAAAAGTCTCTTAAGTCTTTCTGTTCATTGGTTCTGAAAACCCTTCCCTTTTACCCAAGAGGATGGTGCACATTTAAAATCCCTGTTTTAGAGTTAAGGAGATTCCATTCCTCAATTCAAGAAGTTCTGGTTAAGGTCTGATACCATCCAGATAGTAAACTCCACGTAAACTCTTCAAGACTTCAGTCTGTTCTGTGGATTTGATGTTTGCCTAGTGCATGCAAGTGACATTGAGCCTGGCACAGAACGACTAGTGGCTGTGCTCGCTTCTTCAGCTGTGTTTTAAGTGGCATCCACATACTCTGCAAGTGTGACACTGTGATCAGAAGACTGAGCAAGTAAACAGGGAGTCTCATTTTCTGATTGCATTGTCAAGTACGTATCTCCAGCTTCTTGGAAGTAAGTCCTAACTGCTTGGTTACTGAGTCCTGTGAACGTAGGACAAGTGAAGTGAAGGTGAAGAGATGTTTCTTTCCCCTCAAATTCAACTTGGAATACAGACTCTAAAAGATACTGCCTGAGAAGATGTAAAATAGTCCCTCTTTATTTATGAGCTTTATTCAGTGATTATGTACTGTAAAATGTGTGAATAGTACATGGGACTGAATTCGTCTTTGTGTCTTTTTTGCTCGTTACTTGAGCTTTGGCAGTACAGCACAAGAAAATTTGTATGTTAAGGTGGGGAGAAAGATGATGAGAAGAGGAATTGCGAAATGAGTAAGAAGCTGGCTGAGGAGGAACTAAGAGATAATGTTGAAAGTAGATGTTATACTGAAGAGACATTGCTGGCGGAGATCCTGAGATAATTTTGTTTAACGTGTTTCTTCAATAGTGCTAGCTCAAATGTATTGAATTGAATGTATTTTTGCTAAAATGAGGTATACTCATGGTAGTCCAAGTGTTTTAGTTGTGAAATTAGTAATGTCTGTCTACTGATGACAGAAAAACAGGAGACCATGTCAGTACCGCACTGGATAGCAGACAGGAGGAACTGGGTGATCTTGAAGACAAAGCAATAGAATGTAATAGGTGAAATCAGAAATAATGTAATGCAAAGCAAGTCTTTCCTGGTCTGAGGGCCAAGGTGTTTACTCTAAGCCATTAGTTCATTAGCATGAAGAAAGTCAGGATTTGTCTATAGCGCTGCCTTGAATTTCCATTTCGTGACTTGTCCTCAAGAAAATCAGCCTGTACCCTGTCAGTGTTGTGGTCAAGAACAGAGTTTAAATTGGGACTGACTGATGAGCAAGAAGGCTACAGAGAAAATCAGATACGGTATGCCTGTAATATCACAAGTGGAGAATATAAATCAATGCTGGAATGGCTTTCTGCAGCACTTTGTCTTTTTGAAGTTCACTTTGTCTTTGTGAAGTCCGAGGGCTGTAGAGCTCCACTTGTCCACTGGTCGGCCATGTAAGTGACTACAACACATCGTACAGTGAGCATGCTTGAGCTGTTCTGTAAGAACAGGTACAACTCCTCCATTCAAACAGAAGTTTTACAACAGTAGGAATTGAGCAGGATTTACAGGATTTGGCCTAGGAGTTGAACATTTTTGCCACCGAAGTTTTATGGATATTTTTCATGCTCTAAATTAAGCTTTGCATTATCTATTTTAGCTCCTTTTTTTTTTTCCTTTTCTTTTTCCCCCACTTTTTTTTTTTCTCCCAGTCACAGCTTCTATTCACAGCAACACTGTGGCATTTGTCTTGTAACAAGAAGGATCTATAATCATGAAATAACCCAGATTTATGCTTGAAGCTGTGCCATATTTGTGAAAATAACTCGAGGGGAAAAAAAAAGAAAAAGGAGGAACAATATACAGCAGATGTGAAGGTTTTACCTTCCCATTTAAGTAGGTTTATACTGTCAGCGAGTGTGGGCTTAGCACAGCCTGACAAAGTTTTAACTTACCAGATGTTCCACGTGATCAAATAGATACTATACAGCTGTTTCCCATTCTTTTTACTGAGCTCAGATAAATATACAGTAAATGCTCTGAAATACGTTTATTGTATTTTGGCCAGTATGTCGCCTGTTACTGTAGAGAGCTTCCTTTAATCCATGGGCGCTGAGAAGGCGGGGGAAAACCAAAGGTGCTGTAGAAGTACGGTGCAGATGGCTCATTTTCCATTGCTGTGAGGAGGAATTAGCAGCACTTTGATTCAAACTACACTGATGCTACTAATAAGGAAGGGATGAAATGCACATTTTGAATAAGACCACTGGTCTCACAACATTCATGTGTGGCACAGATGAATTCTGTGGGCTGTGCTTGGTCTCTGTGCAAACTCAGATTCCTGTGTGCAGGGTTGGTCCCCCGGAGCTGACAGCTTCATGGATGCAGCAGAGTTTAGCTGCCAGGGGAGGACATGGTTGTGAGAGAGCTACTGTCCCGCAGGTAGCTTGCAGTAATCCCATCAAGGGCTTTAGCACGAATTGAAGACACCAAATAAGATCCTGGATTTAGTGCAGTATAGAAAACAGGGCACCTCCAGAGCTTCTGGTGGGGCTGCCTGTATTCTTCATCCTGTCTGCTCATCCAGGGGCTGGCTGCCTGCCCGAGGTTGGCCATTTGATTTGTTTTTTAAAGACACGCTGCATTTGGGGGTCAAACTAAGCAACTACTCTGAAGTGTTTCAGGACTTCAAGGCGCAGGTTACATTAACTGCCACACCTGTCAACTTGATTCAATAACAGAGCAGCTAAATAATAAAAAAGGAAGTTTCATTTCCCCTCACCTGCTTTTCTGCTCTTGTTTCTCGTTCCTCCCCCTTCAACTCCCCATGCTCTCCTTAGCCCTATAACCTTACTGCTGCCTTCTTTCCCTCCTTTGAGCCTCCTGCTTTTTGGATCTTCTCTTACACCTGGAAAATTCCTCTTGTCTACCAGGGGCCTTCCTTGTTCCCCTTTAAATCCTTCTTTAAAGCCTTCATCTTCCAGCAGAGGAATTACTTTCATCTTTTACTAATAATCTCTTCAACATTTCTTGACTTCTTTGCCCTGTTCTTTTCAGATTTATAGCCTAGTCTTGCAAACCTTTACACAGAAGTAAGTGTTTGGTTAAATTGAGAACATTCAGGTAAAAGTTTAGAGGATGGTAACACTTGTTTGTTGGGAAGCTTTTAGGAATGGGAATATTTCTCACTTTGTAAAACAAAATGTTCATTTATGGCTTTCTGTATATTCTCAAAATAAGCATTTTTGGCCTCAGAGTAGCTGTGGAACATATATGTCAGTAACTTCTGCTTTTCATTCCCTAATTGAAGGTGTGGAACATATTCTCACAGATTTTTTTTAAATTCACTGTTGACAGTATGACTTTATATCTGGAATAACAGGAGAAGTGCAAGCTGTGCCTTTTATTTTAGAGCTCTTCATTGTTTTGTGTTTCAGGAATCCCAAGTATCTGGACTGCCGGAGTACATAAAGATTGTAGAAGTTGGGCCAAGGGATGGTTTACAAAATGAAAAGGTAATTTCTTTTTTTTTTTTGCGTACCTTGACATGGATATCAGTTTCTTTTCATTGTGTAAAATACGTGTGTCATACTAATCATATTTCTTCCATTTTATAGAATATAGTTATGTATATTAATAACTGTCTTGCATAGAATTAAAGCATGTTACTGTTTAGCCAAATGTTAAATTGCATCACCTCTTGCAATACTTGATTAAGTAGCCTTTATTTTATTCCACCACCTTTTTTTCCTCTGGATTTTTTGTCAGCTAATCACATTCTGTTATAACAAAACACTAGCTATGCTTGTAATATGGAACATGCAGGTATATATATACAGTAGGAACAGTATGATAGATTTTGTCATAATTCCTGAGGAAATGAAATTATTGCCTAAAGGAGTATAGGGAGTATAGAAGTAAATTGAAAGGGACTATTTAAAACACAGTATGTTTGTCAAAACCCAAACAATAATCCCTTTCATAAGTGGGTGGTTAATCTTAGTTATATTGTTACTTATATAAAAGGTTTTGGTAGAGTTAGTAGTACTCCAGAATGGGAGAACAACTCTGCCTCAGTTGTGGAGCTTTTATTTTTTACCCCAATATTTCTCTGGTTGGACTATTCTCTGTTACAGTTTCCTTTGTTGCTTCTTCTCCAGGCTGATGTGAGGACAGATCTATAATCAGTTATATGGAAGTGTTTCCTCATTTTATTTTTGTGGTGGAAAAAATGGAGTAGAATCTTGTGTACCATCTAGTGCTTTCCCTGAATGTCAGCTTCCTCTCTCAGTAAATTGCATAGTACAAGTATAGTTCATTATTTTATAACTCATGTATGGATTATTGCTAGGAACATGTCACTTATAAAAATGTCTTGCTGAATGAAATGCTTTATGATAATATGTCTCCATGTTCACAGGTGATTGTCCCAACTGATACCAAAATAGAGTTAATCAACCGGCTTTCTAAAACAGGCCTTCCAGTAATAGAAGTGACCAGTTTCGTTTCATCCAAATGGGTGCCTCAGGTATGTAAAATCATCACAATTTCTAATTGAAATTCACGTGTCATTCCATGCAGTGGAGTTTTCCAAGAGTACAGCCTGTATACTTATCCACGAAAGTGGAACTGGGGTAATACACTGTGTCTGTAAAATCAGATATTGTTGTCTGATGCTGTTTATGCAGTTTTCACGTTTTATGGTTTTATCTAGATTACTGAAGTTGAACTAATTATCAAAATGTAGTCTCAATGCATACACATACATATATAAACTCTACACACCTTTATCTATCTTTATGTCTTTGTCTTTGTCCCACAGCGTATTCCAATGAAAAATAACAAGCTGAAAGTATTTTTATTGTTTTCAGCTGCATCCATTGAAGGGCTTGTTGGAACATGAAGGTTTTATAGCTTCAAATTATAATCTAATGTTAGCCAGAGCCACGTGTTGCATGCCCTGAGGTGGGAGTCACCTGCAGTGAATACAGACACAATCAGTGTTAACAGTTGAACAGAAGTTCTGCAAAAAACTGGTTAAATTCATAACTCAGTAGAGTGAAAGAACAGCAAGAACAGATTGCTCCAGAAGGGAAAGGAAACCTTGATCCAAACACAATAACCAGAGGACCAGAGGCTGTAGCCTTGTTGACAAAGGGGTATTCCAGCAGTGCCCAAGAACAGAGCAAGGTGGGTGAATGTAACCGGGGGTGGCACATACTGAGGCAAGTCTATGGTGATTTGACAGTTCAAGATAGGAAGTCGTATCTATCTGAGACATAGCCAGAATCTAGTCAACAGGTACATGGCCAAGCATGGGGTTGGTTGCTCCACAACTGTGCTGTTTCTCCAGCAGGGAGGCAGAGTAGAACCTCAGCTTTTGACCGAAAAGGGAAATAGTTTTAACAGAGCTGTTTGGAGTATCCTCTGCTGAACCTTCTTCCAGCTTTTTCTTGCTTCCAGCTTTCTTGTTTCTTCCATAGCTGAAATCTTAGATATCATCGTCGCTCCCAAACATAAGAAATTTTCTAGAGGAAGAAAACATAGTTACAGAACTTGTGCAAACTGGGGAATGTTCCCTAGCACCAAAGCAAGGCAACTGACTCTGAGATTCCTCTGTATACACAGAAGCATTTGAGTATTTGTATATTTAGTAAGGACCACACGAGTTATTTACAAAGTAATACATGTGTATAATTGATGTGAGAAAATATGCTAATTTTTAACATTTTTATTTGCACATCTTCTGTTAAAATGTATAAAAAGTTTGTCCAATTGAAGCTGTTGAGAATGTGTCCTGCATTCCAGGCTTTCATCTGAGAAAAACATGGTATGGTCATACTTCTTCTTGTTCTTGAGATAGCAGAGCAAACTGGCTATAGAGCACACACGTATTTATTTCAGTGTTTCTGGGATCATCAGAGAGGAACCTAAAGAAAGGATAAGAGAAATATAACTACAGAATATCTTGGGTGGCAGTGTACTTTCAGTTTGTGTTCGTTAAAGTGCCTATGCTAAGTATCATCAATCTTTGCTGCTACAGCAACAGAGAATAACACAAAGATTTTAAGCATGTGAAGGAAAAGTCTAAAAAAAAAAGAGATGGACTTCTTCATTTCCTGTCTAATTATTTTCTTCTCCTATCAGCCATTAAGAGTATCAAATTTAGTACTGATATGACAGTTTCAGAAAAAGTGAACAATCCCTTTTTATCTTAAATCCACGTCTGAATGCTTTATTTTAATGACTTAAGTTGTGCTTAAAATGTTTCTTTATTTAAAAGATAAGATTGTGTTGCTTTGATAGGAAGTGCAGTCTTGACTTTGTCTTTTCTTTGCTCCTTTTTATTTTCGTGAGTCATGGGAATGAAATTCTTGGTTATGTTTAGATTACTCATTCACTTATTTCTTTTTTTGGTATTTTTGAGCTTTTTATAGTTTCCCATCCACTTTTTTTTTTTTTTTTTTCCCAGAGATTCTGTTGCTGAAAAAATGCTAAAAGAAGTTCCACGGTAGCAAGTAGCAAGATGCCATGTAAACAGGATCCCCACACCTATAACTTAAATGGCCCAAAATTATAAATACCTACCATCAGAAAGCTTATTTTTAAACACATTTGGAAAAGAAATGTTTTATTGCAATTTAAAATTTTCTAACGTGCAGCATGTGTTAAAATGGGATTTTACTTACAGGAAAAATAGTAATGGGACAAATGTACTACATAAAGTATTATTTGGACCTGGCAGTTTTATGCAGTTTGAAACTGTGTCATTTTGGTTTCCTAATATATTTTAAGTTGGGCTATAACTTTAAAGTGTAGAATTACTTCCAACATTTGCCATTTATTTAATCATTTTAATCATGCCATTTATTTAATCATTTAGTTTTAAACGTTCTCCTTTGCCCTCAGAAATTTTATTAAATTGTGGAGTGCAAAATTGTTCTTAAATAAGGAAAGACAGAATGTTTTCTGTAACTTCATCAGATATGTTAATTATAAAGACCTATACAGTTTACATACAAGCAATTCCAGAAATTTACTTTGTGCTATTTTCTTGATTCCTGATGAGAAATAAGTTGTATCAGTCTATAAGACATTCTGTACGTACCATGTACCTACTTCTTTACAGGCACACGTTGGTCTTACACTGGAGGAAACAGGCATGCATATTTCTGATGTATTTAATTCATCCATTTTCATAATAGGAAACCAGTCATGTGAGATTCTAGGTTACTGGTAGTATTGGCACTTAGTAACCTAGAATATACTTAGAATTCACGTACTGCAAACTCTCATTATTTCACATCTTACTTTTCCAAATAACAAGTAGTGAAAGCTTCATAGTTCATGTATTTTTTCATATAGTACTCCTAAGTTGACTCTGCACAAGCGTGAAGGTAATCAGAAATCCAGTTAAATATTTAAAGTACTGTTTGTTTGGAAATTTATGTGAAAACTGATGTAAACAGCACTTGAAACGTATGTAGATTGAGTATTCTAAAACTCAAAATCTGAAAGATGCAAAGTAGGAATTACTTGTGTTGTTAACTCTGTTGTTTTCAAATGTGGGCAACATTAAAAAAAATTAATTTTCTCCCACTTTTTCAAGAAATAAATTGTCTAAATAATATACAGTTTAAATAAGTCTTTGATTTTTCTTCTTGATTAATACATGGAGCTATATGTAATCTCGAGTGAGAAAAAAGCGTATCCTGCAAGGTATGATTTCTCTTGTGAGGGGAGGCTAAGGAAAAAAAATGCTTCAGTAGGTGTTCAATAAAGTATTGTTCTTTGACTTTTGTTGTAATAATTTTTTTTTTTTTTTTTTTGGAAAGAAAGTCCCAAGTATATTAAAATGTTGCACTATGCAGAAATTTGGATTTTGCTGTATTTTTTAAGAAAAGACTAAGCACTTGTTCTTAGTCTTTTCAAATATGCTGGTTGCAGCATTGAGTAAGTTCAATTGTTTTCAATTTTGTGAAGTCTCATTTATCTCATATCTGATGTCTCATTTATCAAAGTGCTCCATTTTCAAGTTTTGGATGGTTTTATTCTGTTGATTTCACCTATGGAGTCCATCAAGGTAGGTTTAAAGTTGCAGTAACAATCAGAGATTAGCATCATAAAAAATTTGTCAGTGTATAATGCATTCTTTTTTTTTACATATACATGTAAAACAAAACACTACAGAATTTTTAATCCCAGTTCTGTATTCGTGTGGAACTGAAATGCTTGCAACTCAAATACTCAAAAGTTAAGAAATACAAGAAAAGACGTTTGTGCAACCTCAGTTTAATCCCTGTGCTGTTATTGTTTTCTGCGAATGGTACACCTGAACTAGACATTGTTTTTTTGCTTAGATATATAATATAAAAATTAGCTGCAAATTATTTATGTATTTTAGATGGCAGATCACAAAGAAGTAATGAGAGGCATTGAGCGGCATCCCGGAGTCCAATATCCTGTTCTCACGCCTAATCTTAAAGGTTTTCATTCAGCTGTAAGTGCATTTGTAGAAGACATTTACAATTACCTCCTCCGTGTTTTCATTTTTTTCCTTCCCTAATTTCTCACACCAGTGGAAATATCAATCAGTCCTTGAATATTTGTATAAATGATATTTGCACAAAAAGGAGAACTCCTTTTCCTTCTTAAGCTTGTTGTCTCTAGAAAAGTTTCTGCAGAATTTTTTCTTATTAGAAAGCAGTGAGTGAATTAAATGAAAATGGTTTAGAGGAATGTGTTAGGTTCCTTAAATTTTTCATTTCATTTCAAAAGTTCTTAACTGTTCCAGTTCATACAGAGTAAATATTCATTATGTTAAGACTCAAAATGGTGTAGTTCAGTCTTCATAAAGCAATGCTTATTGATAGTTGTCTTCACGTTGTTTTTTTTTCTGAAAATGTTTCATGCTTCCATGCTTTGCCTTGATAGAGGACAGGCATATTTGGAAGGCACCTGCTTTGCAGATGGACAGTTGTGGTGTCCAGACTACAGTCTGTCGTTCAGTTTCTATACCACACATGTAATCTCTGTTAAGTAGAACTCTATACATAAGTGAGTCAGTTACCAACAGTCAGCCAGCTTTGTCTGCAGTGGCAACTTGTGTAAACTAAATTAGATCTCTGCATACCCTGCTTAGTGATATAGTGAAGGGAAAACAAAAACAAACAATAGTTGCAGGTGCAGGTGCATACTCTGTCCGTTCTTGATATTTTTTTATCCTTTTATTTGAAAGGGTTTTTGTTTCTGTAGTGGTTGCTGAAGTTAAGACATCCCACAGAAACAGCAAATAAAGGGAAAAGTGAGCTGGAGAGAGAAAGCTACTAGTATTTGTACCAGAAAGTGAGAATTAATTAATTAGCTTCAATGTTTTCTCAGTGTTCTGATTTGCCTCCTTAGTTAGTTAGTTGATTAATTGAGTACAAGCTCGGGCTAATCACCCCTTCAGTGAAGCTCACACATTGACATTAGGCATTTTCTAGGCTGGTATTTGCTTTGAGGCCTTTTCTCAGCGGAATCCAAATGCCCTCTTTGTGTTCTCAGCTATGACACCAATACCAGTGGAGCTCTTGATCGTGCCAGTCAACTGTGTCAAGGAAATCTTATTGGTTACTGCTGCTGCTCTATGTACTTGTGGGTCACAGATGTTGTGAGAATGACTTCTTGGCACTGACAAGGAGCTGACTTTGTACGGAAGCTGAATGTTTCAGAGATGTTATGCGATCTTTACTTTTGCAAAAAATGAAATGAATTTTAATATATATTTATGTATTTATATTTTTATGTGTGCATGATTACTAAGAAGAAGGAAATTTGTCATAGGACAATGCACTCAACGTTTGATTTGACTGATTTGTATGAAATAGATAAAAAAAAAAAAAAAGTAATTAAACTTATACTTCAGAAATAGAGAAGACTTATAATGTACTTTAAAGTTCCAGAAGGTCTTAAGGAATTAAGTACTTAATCTCATCTTGTAATGTAGCGTTATAATTCTGTTCTGTTGAAATGTATTTTTCAGATTGCAGCAGGGGCTACAGAGGTTTCAGTATTTGGTGCAGCATCTGAATCTTTTAGCAAAATGAATATTAATTGTTCTATTGAAGAGAGCATAGAAAAATTTGAAGAAGTTGCTAAGTCAGCAAGAAATATGAATATTCCAGTGCGTGGGTAAATATAAAGATTCTTAAATATTATAGAATTTTTGGAATACTGTTACAAGTTTATTTTTTTTAACAAGTAAAAAAGCATACTACCATACTTTTATGTAATAAATTAATGAAATAATAGCCTTTACTGTGATACTATTTTCTTAAGTGAATATATTTAGTAATTTTGTTCTGTATCTTGCAACAATTAGTGGCAACTAGATTTATCTGGAAATTACAGTGTGTATATACATATCCATTTTATTATGCAGTTTTTTTTTATCATCACCGATGACAGAAAAAAACGTATTTTGTGTTGCTGAACCTTAAAAAATATCCTGAATGCTTTTATTTTATAGTAGTATTCATACACTGTATAATCAAGGTATAAAAATAATGAAACAAATCCATTCCTAAAGAAAAAAATATTTTTCATGGAAGTTGTTGTGAAAACTTGGAGATCTGGAGCATATACAGTATCTACTGCGTGAAACTCTGAAATCTTCCAGTATTTCTCTTTTTCTAGTATATTTTCTTTTAAAATTTCAGAATTCCTGAATGGTAGTGGCCTTTTGACAATCTTCTCCATTTCCATTTTCTGTTGCATTACATTGAGCTTCATATCTAAGATTGTTTGTGAACGCAAAAAACATTTGTATACATGTTTCAAGATGAAACTCAACACTGGGATTCATTGAGGAGTGCTAGTCATGCAAACTGCTTCAGACTCAGGAAATACCTGGAGCTGAAAAGAAGTAGATATCTCAGAGAGTCAGTTCTTGGAAACCTGCATGGGAATAAATACTGAGATCTCTCTTTCCTTCAAAACAGTGAAGAGAGAATGCTACTGTGCACTTTTTGCACAGCGCAGTGTTTGCCTTGAGAAAAGCTTTTATAATTTATCTCATACCTGCTTATGTCCTTTTTGCCTGGCCTGGTCTGGCCCAATTTGGATGGACAGTCACTTGGATAGAGAAAAAAGAACCTAATTAAGAAACAATAAAATTGTAACGGAGTTTAAATACTCCCCAACTAGCGGCTAATCTCTTGAGTCAAGCTTTGCCTTCCTGAGCAAAGTCTCTTATAAGAGGTCTGTTTAACCAGTCTCTGCAGCCGCTGTTTGCTGTGTTTTTCTGAAACTGAACTCTGAGCTGAGAGCATAATGAGTGACTTAAGTTTTCCAGGAAGACTAAGCTCAGGGATTAGCGCATGTCAAGCAATGTTTTCTCTTTCGTGTTCCTGTATTTCACTACCAAACATCAAACATATGGCCCAGTAGAGCCAGCCAGCAATCAAGGGAGTCCTCAAAGCTTGTGGATTGCATTGCGTATATTTTTGGATAGCTACGGGTGTCAACAATTGAACTTTCTGAAGATGTAAACTGCAGGTGATGAAGAAGCCCCCTGTGGTGGACTCTAGATTGATGTTGAAGCTTAAAGTGGTAATTTATATTCTCTGCACTAGTTTGCACATGCTTAAGAAGCTGGAACCTGCTGCTTTTTTTGCACAGAGTACGCAAACAAAAAATCCCACACAGTATTCCAAAATGAGATGATTTAACTCAGAGAAAATATAATCAGATTATGTATATATTGCATTAGCTTTGGACTTGTGGAGCTTTACACTGCATTTAATGACACAGAACAGAATGTGGAAAAGATAGTCAGGAAGTGAAATTTTAAAATATCTTTAGTAGAAATATTCACTGCAATCAAGGCAACTTTTTCCTGGAGGTAAAACAATCAACAAAGTTAGTTATCAGAGCTTGTGATTTATGACCTTGATATACTAATCCCAATTTAGCTGCTATTAAAAGAATTAGTGACAAATGAAATAAATGTTATTTTCCCTAAAACATTTTAATAACCTTTGCAAAATTCTCTGAATGCTAGAAGAAGCAGACCTTTGTGGTTTATAAAAATTACAACAGGTAGAATGAATGTATCAGTAGTTTTTGTGATGGAAAGTAACATAAAGTAAAGCTGTATAATGTAAGGGCAAAGATTTGCATTCTGTGCATTGAGAATTAACTTTTTGTTTTTAATTAATCTCTTAGAGAACAGCTACATCTGAAGAGCTGTGGCCAAATTCCACAGCCTTTACACATGCAAACGTCCAGGACTACGCATTTTGGTTTCTGATATAAATGTTGTAGGCAAAATATTTTGTTTTAATTACTTAGGTAATAAAAATATGCATGAATTGTGTTTCTATTAATTTCAATACAGTGATTGTTTCCTTTCTAAAGAACTATTGTTGTTTAAAGTGTTATTTATTTTCAGGAAATGGATAATTTAGTGTCTTGCCCTAAGTCCTTATTTGTGCAGTTGAAAAATACTTTCAAAATAATTTTAAGGGGTTCAAATTTTATTTCCCATTTTTACTGGCAATTTAGACTTTATGTATTGAGTGTAAATCACTGGCAATCCTTGAATCTTATGAAAAATGCACTCAAATAGTTGAAACTAAATGTTAAGCTTTTGCATGTCTTACTGTTGCTACAGCTGCACTAACATTGACTCGATCATCATCCAGAAAATTTATGTTGTCAGCTGTCACGTTAAAAATCTGTAGTGTAGTACACAGTTTTCTAAATGTTTACTAAATTAGTTCAAATGTTTATGAAGAATTGAAATCTTGCATATGGTCATAGAAGTTAGACAATTTATTAGCATCATAAAGGGGTTTTAATTTTTAGTTTTTGTACATGTATAAAAACTTTACAATAACATCTGGGACACATTCTGTGAAGACACTGTGCCAAATCAGTGTTATGAACTGTGTGGTCAGTTAATGACTACTATGTGTATTTTGCATGGGACATGGCACAAAATATATAGCTGGTTTTAGGATTGTATCTTTTAATGCCTCATTCAGGTACTATTACAAGTATCACATCTTTTTCTGTGATTAAAAATGAACTCAAATAATCCAGGATTATTGAAAAATTGTGGCACATGCTAGTTCCAAGTAGTCCATTGGATTGTGTTTTACTGAAATTGAAATTTTAGTGTAAGTGTAGGTATAGTGAGAAAGTTAAGCAAATTCTGGCTAAGCCACATTCTTTAAAGTTAATATAGTACATAATTTGAATAGAGAAATTGCAGTTATTGCAGTAGAGAGCCTTTAGGAAATTAACGAGTTTCTCATCCACGCTCTCCACCTCTTTTCACAAATAGCTCTTCAGTTGCTACTTTAGTTCTGTGACAGTGAAGCAGTATTATTCATCTGAAACGTTTGGTTCTGTGTAGGATTGTGTTTGTCCTGAAGAAAATTAATGGTGAATATAGAGCTGAAATGTTCCTTTTTTTTTTCTTTTTTTTTTTTTCAATCTATCAAAAAACACCTTTCCATGACCTGTAATTAAAATCTGTACGTATGTCACAGTCCTGAAAAAATTCCCTGTGAATAGCCCTTTTGGACTATTTGCATGTGCATGTGTAAATCTGAGTGTGTATGCGAATGTTTAGAGTTTCAGCGTTGGAAGAACAGATGGAAATGTTTGCTATAAAATAACTTCTAACTCTGGAAGCGTTTCCTTACAAAGCTGCTGCTTCATAAATTAAAGCACGTGTAATCACACATTAATTCTAAACTGATGTATATAATTCCTTTGTTTATAGTCTATAATTTTTAAGAATGAGCAGCAGTGTCCCAAAGTTCACAATATGGAAACGATTATTGAATTGTATCAATATTTGGCAAACACCCATGTTTGTATGGAATTCAGTGCCAGTTGATACACTTGAAATTTAGGAATTTTTTTTTCTATGGCACACAAATGTCATACAAACAATTACACAGCAAAATTATTCAAATTGTTCAAACAATACATTTTTTTATTATGTTATAATAAAATTATCTTAACATTAAGATTTAAACGTGTATACTTCCTTGTTGATCATAGTAAATAGTTATTATTGTACATCTATGTTAATATAAAAAGTAAGAAGATACAAAATAGTACAAAACCTAACAGAAAGAGTCAAGTTTAATTTTCTTCATTCTGCTAAAGATATTTGGATTTATTCTGGGGGAAAAAAATGGGGGGTGGGGGGGGTGGGAAGAACACATTGGTATTTTTTTTGATATATTTTATGGCATGCAATTCCAGAGATGTTTATTTTTATAATGAAACATTTTGAGTATCTGAAACTTCTGATTTTCAAGACAATTTGATCTTAATAATTCAGTTCAATAATGCCATTTTTCCACTTTTGACAGTTTACCTTAGATGCCTTAATGCAGGACATTTGGCTGGCCTTACAACACTGTACCCAATGAGAAGTACTATGAGATGAAACTCCGACAATGCGGTTTTGCACAGATCAATGTGGTTTAAAGCTGTGTATATTTTACCAATAAAGACAGGAACTTAGAATTCACATTTTTGGCTTTTTAGAGTACTTAGGGCTAGACTACATATGCTTTTACTGAATTGCATTAAACCCTCATTGTTAGGCCAGATTGAGAGTTCTTTGGCATAGCCACAATTATATTAATAAGAGGGTGATTTGTATTGGTATCACTGCTTTAGAAAGTTAGTAATAGTAGCTTAGCACGTTCATGTCGCTGTAAGTGAGTCTTATGTTTGAGACTGTGGGAACAACAAAATGTAGACAAGCATTTAACAGACTTGGAAGCAGTGCATTTTAATGTGTAAATGGTAAACTAGTCTACGGGGTTGTACAGTATTAAGCCATCTGGTCACAGTCCCCTGGAGAAGTTTGAGAATCCAGAAACTGTTAGGAGTTGGGACTTGGTGCATTTCTCTCTACTGCGCAAAAGTTAAGAAAATAATGAAGGAACTGTTATAATAATTCCATCATGGTGGATGATTACACAATATTAGAAGAGAGATTTTCCTTAAGAACCATGTTATACCAATTTGTACTCATCTGTTTGGTGCCAGGAAGATAGGAAATATTACTGTAGGGCCGGAAGTGTATTTACTTGTTTCTCTTATTTCTCTTCTCTGAATTTAAGCAATCCCTCTTCATTACAAGTGGTAGTGTAAAATTA